GGAAATATCTAATATTTGGCAGCCATTTTCTCACTAATTTTACCTCTGGAAACAGGTGACCCCCCCATCTCCTTCATTCTCAAATATCTCGACTTGCATTTAAGATAAACGTATATTACCTTCATCCAAATAAAGACAAGGGAACAAGCTTTAAGATTATACCAATAACTCTATGTGCCCAAAAATTGACGAGAGCCTGATTCCACCACGCTGGCTCACAAATACATGTCATAAGTTTATGAAATCCTAACACGGTAAAAAAAAAAAATTAATTACACACCCACACAACTTCATAAATTATGAACTACATTGTACTCTTGCCGGAAAATACGTTTACACTCCCAGGGAATAGCAAACAATTATGAGTTCCTCTAATTGGACAATATTTGTACACACCCATCAACAATAATAGATTCATGAGTTAATCGTACTAGGAGATAGTATTGTTACACACCCGAGGAATGACAGAAAGAAAGGAGTTACTTTTACAGAAAATATTGTAACATTAAAGTTGTTCCCACATCCGATCCGAACATTAGGAATTGCCTTGTTAGTGAGACAACTTCCTGGGCCTTCGGCATATTGTGGTAGGGTGGTAAGTTCCTTTCCACGCCGCCTTTACTTCCCCAACTCGAAGTCCGGTACCCATTACTGCTGGATAGGCAGGAGGGGGCGAAAAAAACAGGTGTCCGAACCGAGGCTCGAACCCGGACTTTCCGCTTCGGAGACGAGCGCACTAACAGCCCCGCCACCTCTGCATAACCAAGAAAAATAAATTAATGAGTTACTTTTACTGAAAAAATGTTGTTACACACTAAAGAAATATCAATAGATGAGTTACTCTTTCATATAATATGTGAGACAGCGTGGTGGAATCAGGCTCTCGTCAAAACAATCGAAGTGAAGAAACTTGCATTTTTCCGCACGGTTGTGAATGTTTATAATTTTTTTTGCTTTTTGGCTCAACACCTTTCATGCCCATCAAAGAACTCATTTCTGCGTGGATTTTTATGAAAAATGTTGATTAAAGGCACACGGATGTAAATTTTCAGTTACCACAGACTCTAAAGCTAAGGAATTAACTAATCTTTGGCGGCCATTTTCTCACTAATTTTACCTCTGAAAACAGGTGACCCCCACCTCCTTCTTTATCAAATATCTCGACTCGTATTCAAGATAAATGTTGTTGTTTTTTCATCCAAAAAAAAAAAAGACAAGTGAATAAGCTTTAAGATGATACCAATAACTCTACATGCCCAAAAATTGACGAGAGCCTGATTCCACCACGCCGCCTCACATATTGTTACATACTCTAGAAAAGATATACATTAATAATTTCCTCTTACAGAAAAACATTTTCACACATCCACCAAAGCTCATAAATAAACACATTACTCTTACAGGAAAATATTGTACATACCCATCAAGCATAATATATTTGTGAGATCTATTCTTGGAAAAACATTTATGAAGTGTGCTGACAAAATGAGTTACTTCTCGGATTCAAGCCTTATGGAAATAGAAACATCATGCTTATAAGTGAAGTTTGACAATTTATAAGTATGAAATAATAAGAGGCACGTTATACACAAAAATAGAGCATCAATAGAAGATCTACTAATTTGACCTCGGTGTAGATTTTTTGCCAATATCCCCATTTGTGGATTGCGAGAAGTAACTCATTTTGTTAGCAAGCCACACATTTTTACGCACCGAATAAAATGTCATAAGTTGTTTTGGTTTGTTAAAATCCTGACACTGCACATAGAAACTGTTTTGGCGCACCCGACAAAAGTCACACGTACGACGCTTCCAGTGAGATAGAATTTTATACGCCTGCGAAGCACCACCAGTGTGTGAGATAATGACATTGTAAGATATTCTGACCACCCACGATACGTCTTCAATTTGTGAACAAAAAGGTGAAATGGTATAGGTTTAACGCCCCTATCAACACTGTTAGGTTATTTAAGAGGTGGGACCAGAGAGTTTAACGTCCATCTCCAAAAGGACCAAGCCACCAGGGAAATTCATGTAAAGCGCCTTTCCCAAGGACGCAACGTCGGACCGGAGTGAGGCTCGAACCCCTGAGCTTGCAATCTCACGATTACGAGTCCAGTGGCCTAAGCAATTATAGGCTACCGACGCCACCTTCAATTTAAGTTATCATAGCGCTTTAAAATACTTTAATACACACCCATAACGTGAGACTAACTGTGGGATCAATATAATCAATATCCATCGGCTATGAAAAATACATCTCCGTGCCACTTCAGGCTTTCTTAAGTTTATTGAAACCTATTAGGAGTCAATACACTTCACTTCGATTTGCTATTTAAAAAGTTACTTGGGAACTCTCATACGAGTTTTGGATAGAATGCGTTGCTACGGCCCATCCCTCCTTCCCACTCGCCCATTCACACATAAATTGCGAAGGCGTTGTTTTACCTCAAAATGGGTTAATAGCAGTTCCCTTTGTGGTATTCTGTGAACTGAAAAAAACAAAAAATAAGTCCATAAAAAACTCACCCTAGTGTTGGAACCCTACCACCATCACCACCACCATCATCTTCGTCTTTTTCTTTTTCTTTTTGCCAGGATTCGATTTAGAAGGTACTCGATAAGGATGCTTTTATACTGATTTTTTTTCTGACTAGAGATTTTTCAGTTTTGGTAGACAACAATTTTGAGCCTCGCCTGGGTGGCTACCGAAATCTGACCTTATCGATTTTTCTTTAATCCTTAAGGGACAATTCAACGAGCGCATTTTGTTCACGGACATCTGAGATTGTTCACCCTTATCCAAGAAGACAAGGAGTTAGATCTTACCTACCCTACGATCAGGGAGTGTGGCTGAAAGACAGAAGAAAGAAGGAGCCAGGAGAAGGAAGAGGAAGAGTCAATAGTAAAGAAGAGAGGAGCACAGAGCTGCCGTCATTTTAAAGAGTAGAGTATATTATGCAGTTTTTACAATTTCACTGAAGAGAAATAAACACTAAAAATACAACCAAAAATTTAACAAAACAACAACAAACAAACAAACAAACAAACAAACAAACAAACAAACAAACAAACAAAAAAAGCCAAGAAAACCAGTTGTTGGTTGTTTTTTTCACAAATAAAAGAACTAAATGTTATTATTTACCAAGAAAACATGCTCTTTGTAAACATCCCATGTCAAGAGTTTAGAGAATATGTGAGGCAGCGTGGCGGAATCATGCTCTCGTCAAAATAGTCAAAGTGACGAAATTTGCATTTTTCCGCAGGTTTGTGAATTTTTATCAAATTTTTTCTGTTTTGGCTCAACACCTTTTATGCCCATTAAAGAATTAATTTCTGTGTGGACTTTTCTGAAAAACGTTGATTAAAGGAACACAAAAAATTTAATTTTTCAGTTACCACGGACTCTTAAGCTAAGGAAATAACTAATCTTTGGCGGCCATTTTCTCTCTAATTTTACCTCTGAAAACAGGTGACCCCCACCTCCTTCAATAGCAAATACCTCAACTTGTACTCAAGATAAATGTATATTTTCCCCATCCAAATAAAGACAAGTGAACAAGCTTTAAGATAATACCAATAACTCTACATACCCAAAAATTGACGAGAGCATGATTCCACCACGCTGCCTCATATATAACTTTGATAATATCATCAGTAAAGCAATAAATGTTGTTTTCTTGACAACAACGTTCTGTTTGTTTGTTTTTTGTTTTTTGTTTTTTGTTGTTGTTCTTTTTTTTGTGTGTGTGTTTTGTTTTTTTTTTGCTTTCCCGTAGAACTGTAAAAACTGCACGTACTGTACTTTAAAAAATGACGACAGATCGGGGGCCGGGTGTAGGGGAAGAAAGTAGAGAGGAAAGCAGCGGATGATAGAACATGATTAAAGAAAGGAAAAGAGGTGAAAGGAGGACATTTTAATTTTTTTTAAACCTACATTTTTTCTCGTCTCAATCGCGTTTAGATCCCAGGTCCTTTTGAAAGAGAGGCAAACATGGTACCTGGGCTGGACCCCGAAAGCTCCCCCCC